TCCCTATAACTGGTGGGTCAGTTATACCTAGGATGTGTATCAGGTGCAGTGGTGCCAAATTCCACTGCTGCATCATGCCATCCAGTCTAGCTTCAAGTTTATTGCATGCCAGTTCATGTGCACAGTTGGCTTTTTTTTTTTTTTTCTCAACAGAACCGTTTTTCACTTCCTGTTTTCTCTAAATAATTTGATTTGCTGGGTGATGTAGTTTTACTGACTGTATTTGGTAGTTGATTCTGCAATAGCAGTAATAGAGTTTCCTTCCATCACTCTGTGGCACGTGCTTCTAAGAAGCCTTCATGCTACTGATGGACAGATTCTGGTTACAGCTTGTACTTGATCATGTCTTCATTTGAGTCTTCAATAGGTGCCAGGGTTTGAAATAGTACTATTTTAGCCTTAGCTCAAGGTTTCTTCATTAGACTGCCAATCTTTCAGCAGATGACTTAAGTTTAAGAGAGATCTTAAATAGATTTATAAATAGAAAAAAAAATGCATGAAGAAGCTCAATATGTCACTGTAGAACTTAAAGCTGCAATACAATCAAAAATCAAAAGGTTTTTCTTAAGAGTTCATATAATTTCAGCCCTCAAGTGAAGGAACTGCTGGCTGGGGGGACCAGTTCTGTGTGCTAAGTCACACAGATATTACAGTGTTAATATTTTTTAATTGCCAATCATAATTTTAAATAATTACAGAGATTTTCAGGAGCACACATTAGAATTAGCATTCCAAATATTAATGGATTTCATTAATTTGTTCAGCTACCATAGGTACTGCTGAGTTTCCATACAAGCAACATGTGCATTCCTTTCAGATATAGAAAATATACATGTCAGAAATTAAGACAATTTCACTAATGATGCAGAAAGACAGAAGTGCTAGCTGCTTGGGACATCTTCATCCTTATTAGAGAATGCAGAAAGAGAAGAGGAAGTGTTCTATTTTTATTCAGAGCTATACTGTCAGTCATCATGAAATTTACCCTTTTTTTTAAGGGCCTGGAACCTAGAAGGGTTCAGTTTGGGCAGTTACTGGTAACTAGCAGAGCCATATTCCTGTAATCTGATGTAACAGATTACACTATTAAATGCACATATAGTCACAAGTAAACACAGAGGGCTGATGAGGATTGGACGGAAGACAACTGTTAGTGTCATAATGATGTCTTAAGTCTTTACAATTTACTGCCTCATTCTTATCATCTTCAAGGATACCTCAGGTAATAGGAACGCCTCGGTGCAGGAAATGTATTCGCACATCACCCCTGTCACAACAGGATTTGGATCTAGATTTATACCAGTGCACAGGATTGCCTTAAAAGGTTGGAGGGAAAACAGAAAAGTTTTAAATTCCAAATGTTTTGGAAAACTGAAAGCATCTAAACTCCTTACACTGGTTAAAAAGACTACAAGAACAAAGCGTACCTGAAAATAAACGTACCAAGCCAGCAGTTGTACATAATAATCTCGCACAAGAGCATTTTTAGGATGCTTATTCTATTACTTTTGATGCTTAAATTTTCTACTAATTGCTTGAATCCTTCCATCCAATTATGTATGGTATTAGCATGGCTGAAAAAGGGTTCTTTGCTGAGATACCCATCCAGATTCACATGAAACACTGTCCTTTAATAAAACACACTTTGACAGCAGGGGATTTAAAAAAAAAAAAAAGTCCGAAAATCCAAGATAGCAGATGGTAAATCTCAAATTGCATGCTTTAAGTAACAAGTATGTGCTTTGAAAGGAAAAGAAGCTTGCACCTAAAATTATACCATGCTGCCTGCCTTCACAGCAAGAGGACATTTTTGGACTTGTTTATTTGTTGAGATACTTTTTTCTTTGCACTTCATCTAATGACAGTTTTGTTCTCAAACTGATATTGAAGGGCATTTTATATCTGGCAATCTGGATATTAAAGATGAGGACATGGCATTATTCCTTCATTTTGCCTGAATGTTTTAAACTTTCAGGTTTTTAGCTTTTAATAGTGCTTACAAAGTAAAGGGGAAGGGGGAGAATGCATATACTTTAATCAGGTTTGGTTTAGACCACACAGAATAACACATTAGAGAAAAAAAGGCAATTACTTAAAAATAGCTGTATTTATATTCCACAACTTGCTCAAATACTGGTTTGTGTTTTTGGTTTTTTTTTTTTATATAAACTTTCTACAGGATGTTTTAAAACAAGTTCTTCACATTGCTTGTCAACTATGTACTTATGGAATTTGAGGGAAACAGTTCTGGTTGTTTTTACAGTTTAACACATGTACAGTACCCAAATTATGGTGGTTAGTCACATGCAGTCCATATGAGATTCTAACATAACATTTAATGAGTTTTCTGATGTGGACCACCCCTTCGACGCTGAGGGTAATGCATCTGTAGAAAGCAGCGACTGTAGGTTTGGGTTACTGCTCTCTGCATCTTCCAGTTTTTCAGTGTTGTCCTCCCAATTAATGTGGAATCTCGTGACTCTGGGATTAGATGCCAAAATATTCCTTTGAAGCTAGGAGAGAAGAAAATACATGGATTATGTAATCTGTACATCCCAAACTGGAGTTCACGTGCATCAAAGTTTTTATTCCCCATAACCTTGTACGTGTAAAACAAATTTTATTAAAAGGGTAATTCATATAAACATGAATCTGTAGCTACTACCTATGGATCAAACATGCTCACAGAAACACACCACTCATTTATCTAACCTCCAACTCGGGAAAGTAACTGCTTCCTTGAGACGGTGTTTTTAACTGTTCTGTGAGTTCAAGGCTGTAGGGGAGCTCGGCAAGTAGGGCGCAAGTGTTTAATAGTATAGCCATTTTGTAGTTAAGCAGATGACCACCCCACAGATTCTGCAAACCACAGCACTCCATGAAATTTTGCATCAACTTCATGGTGTTTGCAATAATTCTATCAATTCCATTAACTGTCTTGCCTTCATTTAAGAGTACAACTTTTCCTTTAATTAAGTTACCATGCTTTAGATTGATTTCACTAACCAAGTTTTAATTTGTCTACTCAAGTTTTAAAGTAAAAACATTAGATTTTGAAGATACTAATGTTGTGGCAGCAGACATGCCTAGATGTTAGTCACATATTTTGTTCTCATGGCTGGCCTTCATTTTCCATTGAAAACATGCTCTATTTGTTTATGCAGCAAAAAAAAGAAAATGCTCACTTTCTCTTAATCTTTGACCATTTTCAAGATTATATAGAGTTAACTCTGGAGGATGGCAACTTACACCACTGTCCACTTGTTATGCCAGTAGGACTGATCACAGGAAAAGCTTCCTGTGGCAGTAATGCTGTAGCATTGGGTGTGGCTCGTATGGAGTTGGTTTTCCCCGCAGCAGCCCCCCATGGTGCTGTGCTTTGCACTGATAGCTAGAGAGGGGCTGTC